AGTCGTCACCATAGCCAATGATGCGTTAGACATTTATCGTACATACCCCATATTCGTCATTCTTGAGCTGTGCACTATGTATTCTCTTGGAATGTGAGTCTGCTAGGAACACAAGCTCTCGGTCAACTAACGCGATCGCCTTAATGTGTGCTTCGATAGCCTTGTCAATGAAGTTTACTTGGTGTTAGCCATGTCCAAGTGATGCTTATTCTTCCTCTTCCTCTCGAAAAATTTGCTTGCTTCTTTGCGTACTTCTTCCACGGCTGCAGTAAATGGCAAGCCAAAGCGTTCTTTCAGAGCGTGTAAGCATCAGTAACTGATGTTAATTTGCTGGAATTAATGGACAGATCACTTACCAAATATTGTCTGTGAAAAACTCACGGGAAATCTGAACAATTATAGCGTCAAAGACCATAGCTTTCCTATGGAGCTAATCTCAACCAGTAAGATGTCTCACGGATAAGACCGCGAACACAGCAGACTTCCCGCGTCCTGCTGCCATAGCTCGTTACTATTTGCCTGATGCGTGACATGTAGTAAATCGGGTTCGTGACAGAAAAATACACATACCCAGAAAGAACGCATTTCTGACGATCGTTCAGCGCGGCCCGATCCGAACTTCCTCACAAGAAAAATCGAAAACCCGGACCCAAAAATTTGATGAAACCGCGAACCGCTGCAGTTTCAGGATCAGCAAATTCGTTAAAATTTCGCCATAAATCTGAAATCCGGGCAAAATATATTTCAGAATCCGCCGATCCGTTGCCTTATTCACCTCCCTTCCCTCTTTCCAAGCGCTGTCACTGGTCGAGTAACGCTGTGAAAACCCAATATTCAGCTTTAATTAACCGCTCAGCTGCATCACGCAAGTGAACAGTCGTTTTCTTAAGCATTTCCTTCAAGATCAAGTGTGTCTGAAAATTGTCTTTTTTGTTAATCAGTTTTTATCGTTAGCTTTCTTTGTGGATCATATATTTTTTGCTTGTTTTTCACACCGTGCATATTTACACAGTCTTCTTGTATATCCGGCGAAGTTAGTTTCTTTTACAAAGAATCACTTGTTTTCAAGTTAGTTTACTTTAAGTCACGATTGGCGCAGTTTTAATTTCTACCCAGCAGTTTTCTTCTCTCCAAAGCGTTTGACGTTATTCAGTATCCACTCGTTCTTTCCAAGCTCAAGGCCTACGGTATAGATGACAAGAGTGGCGCTCTACTCTGGAACTATCTCTCTGGTAGATCTCAGAGAGTCAAGATACGCGGCACCTTCTCCGCCTGGAAAAGTGTTGAACGTGGGGTCCCGCAGGGGAGTGTGTTAGGTCCAATGCTATTTAACTTCTTTATCATCGATCTCTTCTTTTACGTCAAGGGCGTCAGGCTGAACGCTTACGCCGATGATCATCAGATATACTATTCCCACGTTGACCCAGCGACAGTAGACGCATGCATATCTCACAATGTCAAGTTAGCCAATCATTGGTACTAGGAAAATGGGATGTTAGTCAACGAGAGCAAGCACTAGTGTCTCGTTCTTGGCGAAACGGACTATAGGTGGTTTGCACGTTACGTCATTGCCGCCATGTTGGTGGACGTGAACAATAGATATCTCACTAGCTTCTTTTGTTCGTCCACCAGCATTTGTCCCTTTCACTATTGTTGCCTGTGTCTCTAGAGATTGGTTGCAAACCACCTATAGTTTTTCCTTCCCAATAAAGGACACATTAGAAATATTCGGAATGGAAATAGATGATAAGCTCGATTTCTCTAGTCACATATCCAACATATGCAAAAAGATCAATAATCAATTTAATGTCCATCCTCGGAGACCCAGGGGCTGAGTCGATTTGAAGTTAGGGCATGAAGAGCCCCTGGGGACATTGTCTTACAAGACAAGTTCCAAACGGTCGCAGTCTTTCTGCCATCTGATTGGTGCCAGAAAATCTTTGTGTTATTCTGCCCAATCAGAGTGAAGTGTGCTTTAGGGCTGCTTAATTTACCATTCCTATTA